AGTGAATCTCAAACTGGACTGTTTTCGCGTTCTCATTTAATTCACGTTTATGAAAAACACCCCTGAAAAACGGTCGGTTCTCCACACAATACCGACTGTGACGCAATAGTCGGGATCATTAATATGTACGCCTCCAAATATTTGCATAATGCCAGCCCTCAATGCCAGGCGGAACTGCGCAGCCGACGCATGGCAGTTGCTCAGTGTGGATGTACACATGAACACAAAAGTATTTTTTAGTTCCTTCATATGAGCCTCTGAAGAAACAATGGGTTAATTTTATTTTCTCTGGAAATTTCCAAACATTTCACCGAGTGTTTCCTCAACTTGGGCCAATACAGAGCTGGCCTCGGATCGAGCTACCAAGCAACACTTTCTGATGTGTAATTGTTCAAGTTCAGACAGGTAATCTTTCTCTCAAAATCGTTCAATACTGTTTATGCATCAGTAAGTCAAGCCAGTGACTAAAATATCAGCTTCACATCGTTTCTTTTAGTAGGATGAAAATAATCGTATTTAAATTGTGAACAAATTATATACAGAAAGCGATCAAAGAACAATCTTTCCACACAGCGCGAGTTTATCTGGACACTTGCCGAACTCGTTATGAAATCAATGACGCACGTTACTGCACAACGAAGCTCTTACTGTATTTACATCATCGTGTTTGCATTGGTGAAAGCAGAGAGAGTGCAGGAACTGCGCTGCAATGATAAGATCTTCATTCTCGCGATCAACACACAGTCATCTGCTCAATGCTCATCACGGCAACATTTTATGTGTTGGGAATAGATCTAAATACTTTAAAAACATCTCACGATTCGTTAATCTCGATAGCTGTTATAGTAAAAACGTATAATAGCAGTAGTAAAAGTATTCGGGAGAGAGTTTCACATGTAATGCGTTGCTATTTCATATGCAAGCATGTCAGCCAATCACAGCAGTGGCCGCGGTTACACTGAATCCCACAGCCAATCACAGCAGTGGCCACGGTTACACTGAATCCCACAGCCAATCACAGCAGTGGCCGATTACACTGAATCCCACAGCCAATCACAGCAGTGGCCACGGTTACACTGAATCCCACAGCCAATCACAGCAGTGGCCACGGTTACACTGAATCCCACAGCCAATCACAGCAGTGGCCGATTACACTGAATCCCACAGCCAATCACAGCAGTGGCCGATTACACTGAATCCCACAGAGACACGCCCCTTCAAACAGAGTGTTCAAATCAGAGGCTAAAAGCAGGCTAGGAAAAATGCCATTTATTTCTAAATTATGATTATTTTTTATCTAAAAAACATACTAACATTATAAGGGTAACCCAGGAAACATTATAAAATAAATAAAAAAAAACATTCTAGGGCACCTTTAAAACTGCAGTGAACCAAAGACAGTCTCAAAAACACGGTTTGAAATCGCTGGTGTTTCTGACGTCACAAACGACCTTGTAACCAATCAGATCAACGTGTGATCGTCAACCAGTGGATCTCTGAGCTGAGCGAGTGAGTGGAGGCGGGGCTCATTTGCATATTCATAGAACCGCGGATACTAAATGAGGCAAGGGTGTCGAGTTACATTCAAGATATTTTAAGCCATGTAGAATTTATTTTCAAAGAAAAATTTTTTAAATATGTAATTTTGGTGATTAAAGATGCGTTTTAAGGAAAGAATGTTTGACTACAGGGAGACTTTAAGAACTTTTCTGGATCAAGTACATTTATTTAAAAGTGTAGTTTGATTACATGATGTAAAGCACTTCTACTATCATGAAACTCATGCACTCAAGGCAAGGATTCGAACTTTATCATCGAAGATCAGGCGTTATTATACAGATTTAATGTGTGTCAATATCTCTATCCAGTGTGTTTTACACACGTTGCATATCTACACCACCTTTGATCTATAGCGTAACCATAACCATACAATTGCTAAATAGTCTAATGTATGTTTGGTAACACTTTACAGTGTCCTTGTTACTTGCACTTACCGTAGTAATAACAGTAAATTATGCATAATTACATGCAACTAACCCTCAACCAAACCCTGATCCTAGAGTAAGTACATGTAGTTATTAATATTACTCAGTACTTAAATATATAATTACACTGTAACAATGACACCCTAAAATAAAGTGTAACTGACTTTATATTAGAGTCTTTGTAACACGTAACTTGTGCTTACCGTAGTAATAACAGTAATGATGACAGGCTAACCAAATAGTAAGTTCATGTTGTTGAGGTTTAGTTGCATGTAATTATGCATAATTTACTGTTATTACTACGGTAAGTACATGTAACAAGGACACTATTTTATATAGTGTTACCGTAAGTTGATGTTGTATAATAACACTGTAAAGTGTAACAGTACGTTTGAGTATCATCCAAGAAAGATGTTATAATTCACTCATATCTGTAACAAAGAGATTCACAATATACTGTTTATTTGACTAATAACCTCATAACTAAAGGCTTGTTCACATCAAGAATACGGTAACTTTATTGTAAGGTGTCTATGTTACAGTAATTATACATTTAAGTTCTGAGTAATAATAATTAATTAGGTTGGTTTAGGGTTAGTTGCATGTAACGAAGCACAATTTACAGTAATTACTACAGTAACTATATAACAACAAGTGTAAGAAAGACTTTTACAATATTGCGTTACTCCCTAAAAATGTTTCTAATTGCAATAGTTACTTTTATGGAAAGTAATGCTTAATTACCTGTTTTTAATAACAACAAAAAAGCACAATAGTTCTATCGATGATCATCAAAAGTCATGTTTGCTCTTTATACGGTTGAGTGGATCAGCAGCAAAGCATCGGTTAATAAAGTGAGATTAAATGCATAAAGTATATTGTTTAATATATATATAATTATTGCAGGTTTGCATAACATTCTGAATTTGCATTTCACTGTTTTTATTCATTTTGAGTAAATGCATGTTCACATTTAGTCCAGGACTATAATATGATTAATAATGATTTACAGTAATAATCATGTTCAGGCACGACGCCCCTCCACTTCTCTCCGGAGAGTCAATATATACATGGGAAAAGTTTTGAGAAGAATAACTCAGATATTCTGTTGTATGAAAGGGAATATGATTACATAACTTGCTTTTTTTTTTTTGCTTGTTTACCATAGACAATGAGTTATTTTGGTTACACTTTATTTTAAGGTGTCATTGTCAGGGCCGTCGCTAGTGGGGTGAAAGGTGGTGACAATTATAGGGGCCCCCACTGCCCAGGGGGCCCCACAAAATCCAGCAGTTATACTATTTAGGCCCCTGTTGTATGAATAATTCTAATATTTATATTAGTTGTATGCCTGAGATTTAAATGAAAACCACAAAAACGTGCAATTTGGGTAAATATTTTTCCAAATATCTGCTTCTCTTACCTCCATAAAAATGGTTTAGTCCGACCTAAAGTATGTATTAATTATTCAGTCAGAGTCAGTGACAAACATCAGATGGACCCAATAAAATTGTAAGTCCCGCCCCAGCTCGTGAACAGAACCAATCAGAGTTGAGGCGGCAGCCTGAAGTTAACGATGAACTTGGTGGAAGAGCAGGAGACTGACTGACTGAGAAATGTCGGGGAAAAGAAAACATAAATCAGGGAACCAGAAACGCCAGGAAAAGACGGAGAGGGAGGCAAGGAGAGTGGTTGTATCCCAGTCGATCAAGATGTTCTTAAAGACCGGTTATATATTGTTATTTCGCTGGGAATTAGAAAACTTCCGTCTACAGTCTGCCGTGTACAGTCATTTTTTATTATCGGTGCGCGCCGCAATCGACCGAATGATTACGTGGTCTAAATTCCTGTCTTTTTACACTATTGTAAATAGAGTTTTAAAAAAATTACACGAGTCACGACGCATTGCATTATGCATCTGACCTGCCGGCTGATGATATTTAAAACATCGAGAAAACATGAATACAACACACTGCACTTGGATGAATAAATGTATTCGCTTTATTTAATAATATTACCAGTTCCATATTATCTTTATTAAAAAAATAAGAAAATGAATGGTTTTATTTTTTTAATTAGACTGCATTCTTGTCAATTTCTAAATGTTTACTTTTTGATTTATGAATTATAACAGACTGATGGGGGGGGGGGAAATTATTACTTTTTAAAAATTGGTTTTATTATTATTTAACAATTTCTTGCTTTTTTGTTAGTTTTTATTAGTTGTAATTTTTATATAAACATTTAACTTTTAAAATAAAGGTTTTACAACAACATCACCATCTTCTGTTATGTGGGCCTCCATGTTCATCTCTTGTACAGTATATGATATTGGTGGAGGGTGGTGTAATATTAAATCAATATTTTTTCAGGGGGCCCCGAATCCTCTAGCTAGGGCCCTGGTCATTGTTACAGTGTAATTATATATTTAAGTACTGAGTAATATTAATAAACGACAACTACTTACTCTAGGGTTAGGGTAGGATTAGGATTTGGTTGAGGGTTAGATGCATGTAATTATGCATAATTTACTGTGTAAGTATGTAAAATATGTAACAAAGACAGTAAAATAAAGTGTTACTAAAAGATTGCATGTCCAAGATAAGGGCCCTTGAACACACGTCGGAAGATTTAACCTCGTGTCTGTGTAGCCTAAATATAGGCATAACTGTTCTAAGCTCCACCTGTTAATTTCCCAGCATTATGAAACGAGCCGCACGATTTATTCCACTTTATGAAGAGATTGGAGGCTAATGATAAAGGTTTGACTATAGTCACTTCGAGACTGTTCTTCTCCATCGCGCGCGTCGTGAAGGCAGTTCGCGGGCGTCAAACGGTTAACCCGAGGCCGCGCCCACTACATCCCGTTAGGACTCCGAGACTGAACTTTGTCTTCGGTAAACACGGAGCGATAACCGGACACCGGAGCGAAGGTCGAGGACACACACACACACACACACACACACACTCGGAGAGAGGAGATGCGGTGTCAGTGACGGCTGAGGCGAGACACGACAGGGCTGTGGCGAGTATTATACTGAATAAAGTTGAATTTTAACCCTTTCGCCTCCAGGATCTATTCGCCATCATCATGAACTTCCTCCTGGAGACGCTCCAGGTGCTCTTCTTGTCGCTGGTCTACACGTTAGAAGCGCTGGTTCGGTTGTTTGTCCCGGTTCGGCGGAAGAGCGTGTCCGGGGAGCTGGTGCTCGTGACCGGCGCGGGCAGCGGGATCGGCCGGCTCATGGCGCTGGAGTTCGCGCGCCTGGACGCGCGCCTGGTCCTGTGGGACATCAACGAGGACGCGCTCAAAGAGACCGCGCGCGCGATCAAAGACGAGCTCGGGGCGCGCGCGTACACGTACACCTGCGACTGCAGCGAGCGCGAGGAGGTGTATAGGACCGCGAGCCAGGTGCGATTTCTGTTTTATTTTAAAAAAATGTATTGAATGCCAGTCACATACAAATAATAAACATTACAATAATCCAACATATAGTGTAACATAGTTAAACAAATATAGACTAGGCCTACAACAAATAGGAAAAGAAAATATACAGTGTAATTTAAAAATAATATACAAATACAAATAAATAAAATAATATAAAAAAAATCAGGATTTGAAATCATCATATAAATAGCATAAAAGCTTCGCATGGAGACCTAGTGCGTTTTGCTTTACTATTTTTCAACCTAAGAAGTAACTTAATACCATATCTATCTGAAACAACACAAAGTTAGCTTTTCCTTTAGCCCATTAATGTTTATGTTTATGGTATTTCCCCATAATCAAACAAAGATTAACAATAAAGGACACATTTGGTGGTAATCTAGCTTTGTCTATTAAAATAAACACGTCCAGGTGTAATACACGCGCTTCGTCACGGTGACGTGTAGAGTTCAGGGCGCGCGCGGTGTTTAAAGTCACATCAACATTTGTAATGACCATAAACATCATGATTTCTACTGTCTTTCTTTCACTCATACTGTTTATTTTCAGTAGCTACACTTTAAATGTTTTTATCACACAACTTTGACTTGTTTCAGGTTATTCGTTAGGCTAATGGTAAAAAATAATAAGTAAATGACTAAATTCTTTGACACTTAAAACTTTAAGGCAACTTTAAGTAAACATTTTTAACAGGCTAATAATAAGAAGAAGTGTAATTCATGACTCGTTCCGTTTGTTTATGAAGGTGAAGCGTGAGGTTGGAGACGTCACAATATTGATCAATAATGCAGGGATTGTTACTGGGAAGAGGTTCATGGAATCTCCGGATGCGCTGGTGGAGAAAACTATGGAGGTCAACAGCCTAGCACACTTCTGGGTATCTATCTATCTATCTATCTATCTATCTATCTATCTATCTATCTATCTATCTATCTATCTATCTATCTATCTATCTATCTGTCTGTATCTGCTCATGATATCCTGCTCTCCTCTCAGATGTATAAGGCGTTCCTGCCTGCTATGATTGCTGGTAATCGAGGTCATCTGGTCAGTATAGCGAGTTCTGCTGGACTCATCGGAGTCAATGGACTGGCAGGTACAGTAGATCTTCTCAGTTTAACACTAATATCAACAGTAATATCTCTCTCTCTCAGGAGGAAGTGTGTATTTCTCACTACATGTCCTCAGATTACTGTGAGAGTAAGTGTGTGCCGTCCTCAGATTACTGTGAGAGTAAGTGTGTGCCGTCCTCAGATTACTGTGAGAGTAAGTGTGCGCCGTCCTCAGATTACTGTGCGAGTAAGTGTGTGCCGTCCTCAGATTACTGTGAGAGTAAGTGTGTGCCGTCCTCAGATTACTGTGTGAGTAAGTGTGTGCTGTCCTCAGATTACTGTGTGAGTAAGTGTGTGCCGTCCTCAGATTACTGTGAGAGTAAGTGTGTGCCGTCCTCAGATTACTGTGAGAGTAAGTGTGTGCCGTCCTCAGATTACTGTGAGAGTAAGTGTGTGCCGTCCTCAGATTACTGTGTGAGTAAGTGTGTGCTGTCCTCAGATTACTGTGAGAGTAAGTGTGTGCCGTCCTCAGATTACTGTGTGAGTAAGTGTGTGCCGTCCTCAGATTACTGTGTGAGTAAGTGTGCGCCGACCTCAGATTACTGTGAGAGTAAGTGTGTGCCGTCCTCAGATTACTGTGTGAGTAAGTGTGTGCCGTCCTCAGATTACTGTGAGAGTAAGTGTGTGCCGTCCTCAGATTACTGTGAGAGTAAGTGTGTGCCGTCCTCAGATTACTGTGAGAGTAAGTGTGCGCCGTCCTCAGATTACTGTGAGAGTAAGTGTGTGCCGTCCTCAGATTACTGTGAGAGTAAGTGTGTGCCGTCCTCAGATTACTGTGTGAGTAAGTGTGTGCTGTCCTCAGATTACTGTGAGAGTAAGTGTGTGCCGTCCTCAGATTACTGTGTGAGTAAGTGTGTGCCGTCCTCAGATTACTGTGTGAGTAAGTGTGTGCCGACCTCAGATTACTGTGAGAGTAAGTGTGTGCCGTCCTCAGATTACTGTGAGAGTAAGTGTGTGTCGTCCTCAGATTACTGTGAGAGTAAGTGTGTGGCGTCCTCAGATTACTGTGCGAGTAAGTGTGTGCCGTCCTCAGATTACTGTGTGAGTAAGTGTGTGCCGTCCTCAGATTACTGTGCGAGTAAGTGTGTGCCGTCCTCAGATTACTGTGAGAGTAAGTGTGTGCCGTCCTCAGATTACTGTGAGAGTAAGTGTGTGTCGTCCTCAGATTACTGTGAGAGTAAGTGTGTGCCGTCCTCAGATTACTGTGAGAGTAAGTGTGTGTCGTCCTCAGATTACTGTGAGAGTAAGTGTGTGGCGTCCTCAGATTACTGTGAGAGTAAGTGTGTGCCGTCCTCAGATTACTGTGCGAGTAAGTGTGTGCCGTCCTCAGATTACTGTGTGAGTAAGTGTGTGCCGTCCTCAGATTACTGTGAGAGTAAGTGTGTGCCGTCCTCAGATTACTGTGTGAGTAAGTGTGTGCCGTCCTCAGATTACTGTGAGAGTAAGTGTGTGTCGTCCTCAGATTACTGTGAGAGTAAGTGTGTGGCGTCCTCAGATTACTGTGCGAGTAAGTGTGTGCCGTCCTCAGATTACTGTGTGAGTAAGTGTGTGTCGTCCTCAGATTACTGTGTGAGTAAGTGTGTGCCGTCCTCAGATTACTGTGCGAGTAAGTGTGTGCCGTCCTCAGATTACTGTGAGAGTAAGTGTGTGCCGTCCTCAGATTACTGTGCGAGTAAGTGTGTGCCGTCCTCAGATTACTGTGAGAGTAAGTGTGTGCCGTCCTCAGATTACTGTGATAGTAAGTGTTGGCCGTCCTCAGATTACTGTGAGAGTAAGTGTGCGCCGTCCTCAGATTACTGTGAGAGTAAGTGTGTGCCGTCCTCAGATTACTGTGAGAGTAAGTGTGCGCCGTCCTCAGATTACTGTGAGAGTAAGTGTGTGCCGTCCTCAGATTACTGTGAGAGTAAGTGTGCGCCGTCCTCAGATTACTGTGCGAGTAAGTGTGTGCCGTCCTCAGATTACTGTGTGAGTAAGTGTGTGCTGTCCTCAGATTACTGTGTGAGTAAGTGTGTGCTGTCCTCAGATTACTGTGTGAGTAAGTGTGTGCTGTCCTCAGATTACTGTGAGAGTAAGTGTGTGCCGTCCTCAGATTATTGTGAGAGTAAGTGTGTGCTGTCCTCAGATTACTGTGAGAGTAAGTGTGTGCTGTCCTCAGATTATTGTGAGAGTAAGTGTGTGCTGTCCTCAGATTACTGTGCGAGTAAGTGTGTGCCGTCCTCAGATTACTGTGCGAGTAAGTGTGTGTCGTCCTCAGATTACTGTGAGAGTAAGTGTGTGCCGTCCTCAGATTACTGTGCGAGTAAGTGTGTGCCGTCCTCAGATTACTGTGAGAGTAAGTGTGTGTCGTCCTCAGATTACTGTGTGAGTAAGTGTGTCCCGTCCTCAGATTACTGTGTGAGTAAGTGTGTGCCGTCCTCAGATTACTGTGAGAGTAAGTGTGTGCCGTCCTCAGATTACTGTGAGAGTAAGTGTGTGCCGTCCTCAGATTACTGTGCGAGTAAGTGTGTGCCGTCCTCAGATTACTGTGAGAGTAAGTGTGTGCCGTCCTCAGATTACTGTGCGAGTAAGTGTGTGCCGTCCTCAGATTACTGTGAGAGTAAGTGTGTGCCGTCCTCAGATTACTGTGAGAGTAAGTGTGTGCCGTCCTCAGATTACTGTGTGAGTAAGTGTGTGCCGTCCTCAGATTACTGTGAGAGTAAGTGTGTGCCGTCCTCAGATTACTGTGCGAGTAAGTGTGTGCCGTCCTCAGATTACTGTGTGAGTAAGTGTGTGCTGTCCTCAGATTACTGTGTGAGTAAGTGTGTGCCGTCCTCAGATTACTGTGCGAGTAAGTGTGTGCCGTCCTCAGATTACTGTGAGAGTAAGTGTGTGCCGTCCTCAGATTACTGTGAGAGTAAGTGTGTGCCGTCCTCAGATTACTGTGCGAGTAAGTGTGCGCCGTCCTCAGATTACTGTGAGAGTAAGTGTGTGCCGTCCTCAGATTACTGTGCGAGTAAGTGTGTGCCGTCCTCAGATTACTGTGAGAGTAAGTGTGTGCCGTCCTCAGATTACTGTGAGAGTAAGTGTGTGCTGTCCTCAGATTACTGTGAGAGTAAGTGTGTGCCGTCCTCAGATTATTGTGAGAGTAAGTGTGTGCTGTCCTCAGATTACTGTGTGAGTAAGTGTGTGCTGTCCTCAGATTACTGTGAGAGTAAGTGTGTGCCGTCCTCAGATTATTGTGAGAGTAAGTGTGTGCTGTCCTCAGATTACTGTGCGAGTAAGTGTGTGCCGTCCTCAGATTACTGTGCGAGTAAGTGTGTGTCGTCCTCAGATTACTGTGAGAGTAAGTGTGTGCCGTCCTCAGATTACTGTGCGAGTAAGTGTGTGCCGTCCTCAGATTACTGTGAGAGTAAGTGTGTGTCGTCCTCAGATTACTGTGTGAGTAAGTGTGTCCCGTCCTCAGATTACTGTGTGAGTAAGTGTGTGCCGTCCTCAGATTACTGTGAGAGTAAGTGTGTGCCGTCCTCAGATTACTGTGAGAGTAAGTGTGTGCCGTCCTCAGATTACTGTGCGAGTAAGTGTGTGCCGTCCTCAGATTACTGTGAGAGTAAGTGTGTGCCGTCCTCAGATTACTGTGCGAGTAAGTGTGTGCCGTCCTCAGATTACTGTGAGAGTAAGTGTGTGCCGTCCTCAGATTACTGTGAGAGTAAGTGTGTGCCGTCCTCAGATTACTGTGTGAGTAAGTGTGTGCCGTCCTCAGATTACTGTGAGAGTAAGTGTGTGCCGTCCTCAGATTACTGTGCGAGTAAGTGTGTGCCGTCCTCAGATTACTGTGTGAGTAAGTGTGTGCTGTCCTCAGATTACTGTGTGAGTAAGTGTGTGCCGTCCTCAGATTACTGTGCGAGTAAGTGTGTGCCGTCCTCAGATTACTGTGAGAGTAAGTGTGTGCCGTCCTCAGATTACTGTGAGAGTAAGTGTGTGCCGTCCTCAGATTACTGTGCGAGTAAGTGTGCGCCGTCCTCAGATTACTGTGAGAGTAAGTGTGTGCCGTCCTCAGATTACTGTGCGAGTAAGTGTGTGCCGTCCTCAGATTACTGTGAGAGTAAGTGTGTGCCGTCCTCAAATTACTGTGCGAGTAAGTGTGCGCCGTCCTCAGATTACTGTGTGAGTAAGTGTGTGCCGTCCTCAGATTACTGTGAGAGTAAGTGTGCGCCGTCCTCAGATTACTGTGTGAGTAAGTGTGTGCCGTCCTCAGATTACTGTGCGAGTAAGTGTGTGCCGTCCTCAGATTACTGTGAGAGTAAGTGTGTGCCGTCCTCAGATTACTGTGAGAGTAAGTGTGTGCCGTCCTCAGATTACTGTGAGAGTAAGTGTGTGCCGTCCTCAGATTACTGTGTGAGTAAGTGTGCGCCGTCCTCAGATTACTGTGTGAGTAAGTGTGTGCCGTCCTCAGATTACTGTGTGAGTAAGTGTGCGCCGTCCTCAGATTACTGTGTGAGTAAGTGTGTGCCGACCTCAGATTACTGTGCGAGTAAGTGTGTGCCGTCCTCAGATTACTGTGAGAGTAAGTGTGTGCCGTCCTCAGATTACTGTGTGAGTAAGTGTGCGCCGTCCTCAGATTACTGTGTGAGTAAGTGTGTGCCGTCCTCAGATTACTGTGCGAGTAAGTGTGTGCCGTCCTCAGATTACTGTGAGAGTAAGTGTGTGCCGTCCTCAGATTACTGTGAGAGTAAGTGTGTGCCGTCCTCAGATTACTGTGAGAGTAAGTGTGTGCCGTCCTCAGATTACTGTGAGAGTAAGTGTGTGCCGTCCTCAGATTACTGTGAGAGTAAGTGTGCGCCGTCCTCAGATTACTGTGTGAGTAAGTGTGCGCCGTCCTCAGATTACTGTGTGAGTAAGTGTGTGCCGTCCTCAGATTACTGTGAGAGTAAGTGTGTGCCGTCCTCAGATTACTGTGAGAGTAAGTGTGTGCCGTCCTCAGATTACTGTGCGAGTAAGTGTGTGCCGTCCTCAGATTACTGTGAGAGTAAGTGTGTGCTGTCCTCAGATTACTGTGAGAGTAAGTGTGTGCCGTCCTCAGATTACTGTGAGAGTAAGTGTGTGCCGTCCTCAGATTACTGTGAGAGTAAGTGTGTGCCATCCTCAGATTACTGTGAGAGTAAGTGTGTACCGTCCTCAGATTACTGTGTGAGTAAGTGTGTGCCGTCCTCAGATTACTGTGCGAGTAAGTGTGTGCCGTCCTCAGATTACTGTGCGAGTAAGTGTGCGCCGTCCTCAGATTACTGTGAGAGTAAGTGTGCGCCGTCCTCAGATTACTGTGCGAGTAAGTGTGTGCCGTCCTCAGATTACTGTGCGAGTAAGTGTGTGCCGTCCTCAGATTACTGTGAGAGTAAGTGTGTGCCGTCCTCAGATTACTGTGTGAGTAAGTGTGCGCCGTCCTCAGATTACTGTGAGAGTAAGTGTGCGCCGTCCTCAGATTACTGTGAGAGTAAGTGTGCGTCGTCCTCAGATTACTGTGCGAGTAAGTGTGTGCCGTCCTCAGATTACTGTGCGAGTAAGTGTGTGCCGTCCTCAGATTACTGTGCGAGTAAGTGTGTGCCGTCCTCAGATTACTGTG